TATGGGATTCAGGGCAACGGGACGAACGTGGGCGTTAGAAAACAAATAGTCTGATTTATTAATCTATTAAAATTATTTTGTTTGGCAGACGCCCGAAGACGTAGACTACGCCGCGAGAACAGACTGACAATGCGCTCGCAAATTGGATTGCAGTTGCCTCAAGGATCAGCCGAAGTCGGTTCGTAATTGGTTGTACAACTCGCTCAAGTCACGAGTTAAGACCGCAATCTTGAGCCGCCGCCAGCCGATTCAAAACAATACGAAATAATATTACGATCTTTTGTATTGGTTTCATATTCCGTTCGATAGAAACCATTATAAGTTTCTTTCTATTGAACGAGTTTAACTCTAATCTTACTATTCAATTAATATAATTCGAGTCATATTTAAGATTTCAAACAGGTTACTTAGCTAGTAAATTAGCTAATGAAAATTATTACTACATACTGTCAATTAAAAACCGTAAACAAATAAGTTAATAAGTAAGTCTACCCTGTAAGGGCCACAAAACAGTCTTCGTTGTAGCATGAATGGGCAGGTCCATCCGGGAAGTACCACGACTTCATGGAAGACCGGCGTAGTGTTATACTTCTGCGTTTCATCTGCTGAGTGAGGTAACTGAAGCCCACTTGCTCATATGAATAAAAATGTAGGTATGTACGCAAGTAAAAAGTTAACCTTCTTTACCTAAAACGGTTTATTAAATAACTTGGAATTATTGGTAAATGTCAAAAAGTTGTCGTTGCTTGCCATGATAAAGTTGGCTTTGAAATATAATGTCGCTTTTTGAGGGTGCGATGTGCGCGCACAAAGTAAAAATTTTACTCATAAATACTTAAAGTAATTCTTCGGATAAAACCCTTGTCTTGAGAATATAACAAATTTAATACCACATTTAAAAACAATAGGTCTTTTACTTCGGATACGGATACAACAAGCAGCCTTTTGATTTCAACGTATGTACATATTTCTAGTGAGATTTGACGATCCGCGCCATTAGGATGTTGGCAGTGCGCCAACATCGCCCGAGGCGCGGGTATATTTGTGAGCTTAGCATTCAAGGAAGTGTTGAATCTCGGAATAGAACTTCCACATGAAAAATTGGCCTCGTAAGTAGCGAACGTTTCTTCCTCTTTAAAACTGTTAGATTTATTTCCATTTTCTTCACAAAACGCTACTAATGCTGAGTTGTGTAACAATAAAGATACATATGGGTGAAATTTCGAATTAGGATTTTTTTTGTAAAATCTGTGTTCATCATTTCATATTATCGACATACAGGTGCGCAATGGTGTATGAGCACTTTTTGTTGAAATAAACTGGTTATTGTGGTCTTAGAGCCAGACCGATTGTCGACCTAGCTCTGAGGCCAGAGTAGGTACTAACCAGTTTGTACCGGTAGGTCATTTTATGCATTTGTATATAATTTGTATAATTCATCCAATCAATTACACATAGTTCTTCCACAAGATTCTAAAAGCTAAAGCAAAAAGGAATTTCGTAATATTTCTTGATGTAATTTATTTCACGTTGATTAATTATTTTAAAAAATAATAAAAGATGGTATCACTCAAATTTATTATTATAATGTTCAAATCATGCCATGATGATGTTGCAAGGCATTGGGTTCTTGGAGTGGGTTCGATTCCCACATGGGACAAGTATTTGTGTGACCTACAGATTATTGTTCCGGATCTGGGTGTTTGTTTCCAAAGAGGGTTGACGTGTGACAGGCAGCCGGTGGTAAAAAACCCTAGACCATATCATTAACATTCACATGTTGTGCCGATCCCACCTACGTAGGATAAAGGCAGGAGATAGAAAACGTGCTGAAATTAAAAAAAAGAAAGTTGCGAATGTAAAATAAAATAGGCTGCAAATAAAATTCGATAAATATTTATAGGTTACGAATGAGTTTGATTCAAACGTGGTGCTACTTGGCGAACGTTAGCAGTTTGGCGGAAATTTTGTTTGGAGGACGTCGTTTCGCAGACGCAGATCTCGCAGTTTACGTTTGTACAAAATAAAACTCTGGCAACGATATAACACTCGGTTGTAATTGGTTTACTCTACACAACTGATTTGTTTATTGCAAGTTGTAAGAGAAATGGTCTTTGCAAAATAATTTGTTAATGGAAAGAGCAATGGTCTTCAAAAATATTGGAAAATAATGATACATATATTTTTTGCTCCAAGGAAATCAATAAAGTCTTTGCTTTTAATCCAGCTCTGAACAAAGAAGTATAAATGATTAATTAATTGTCTGGTTTTAATGATAACAGTGCTAATATTACATATTATCAACGTTAATACGACCTAATTGGCGTGGAAGATAGTGACCTTGACTCTTGCACCAGACGGTGTGGGTTTGATCCCCACTACTGAAATATACAAAATATACATAAAATAGTTTGTGATGAACATAGTGTTTTTCTAGTATCTGGGTGATTTTATATCTATAATACCTATTTATTTACAAAATAAAAGTACAACATACTTTATGTTTATCAATACTTAGTACCAATAGTACCAGCAAGCAAACTAAGCAAAGTTTTGCACTAGATAGCGTTGTGTCAAAATATGTCTCGAAATATTTATTTATATTATAATATATTTATATACATTATGAAATTAAAATATGGATTTATTCGCGTGTAATTTAAATTAAAAGGACAGCCTTTTACAATAAATGAGTCATACTTTCAGAACTTCGGGAATTTAAACAATAATTAATCAAATGTTCTTAAAAAATGTTTTTTTATACATCATATTAACAACAACTCAAACAAAAAAAATTTTTAATTATAATTAAAATTTGTTTTCAGATTACGACCTCATATTATAAAATGTAAAGTTAATTAAATAAAGCTTCATTTTATAACTAATATCCTGTTTATCATCGAACCATGAAAGTACGAGCATTTAAAATTTCTCGACAAAAACACCTGTCCTGAGCCGGCCTAAAAGTAATACGTCGAACGTTTTACCTGTGCCGGATAATGTAGTTAACAATCTAGACGTATGAAAGACATCGAGATCGGCCCACATCGCGCAGTGTTCTGTGTCACATGCGCCTACCGACCTACACGGCTACACGGACCTCGGCGCTATGTGGGCCGTGTGCCATGTACAGGGTGTTTCTCCTAAATTCGCACTTTGTTGCCGACTTTTTGCTTTGCCAACTTTTTGCGTGAATACGAGTCGAACAGAAACGCTTCTGCGATGGAGTAAAAGCAAGTTGATTTCGACAGGCCGATGTTCGGGATTGGGTCGAACCGATCTCCTAGTTAGGGCCACATATCCTTTGTATAGCGAGTTTAACCATTAAAATTTGTTGAAATATTTCGTTCAAAATTCAACCGTAGACTGTTTATCACATGGGTAACGAATTTATCAACGGCATTTCATTCCAAAAAATTTTAACAACATTAACAACTACTAACTACAATACACGTTATCTATTTTTCATTTTAGGTCAATATAAGTGTATACAAATTCACAACTAATATTTAAAGTTCAAGTTAATAAGATTATCCCCTACACGATATGTTCCTTTTATGTATTATAAAATATAGCGTGGGTGAACGAGAACTCATCCTTACATTATGACAAAAACCACGCCCTAATTGAACGGAAAATGATATAAGCTATAGACATTGGATATATTATGTCCATTCGCTAGATACATTATTTATCAAGCAAACCAGAGACAGGTGGTACTTTAAGTGACGCAAGTTTATTTATTTAAATTTCAACCTCGTCCACAACGTTGATAAATGTGAAAATACTAACAATGGAAATATTAAACCTTTTTATAATAATGTGATTTCATGCTTAAATGTGCAACATTTGCTTTTTAATTCCTGATAGATTGGAAATGTATTTACTCGTTTTTAAGAATGTTTTATTTATCAAAGTCAATTTTAAAAACTAAGATTTGTAAAGAAAACTAAATTTAATAACCTTAATTTATTCAAGGAGAGTATGTCAACTTGTGTATTCTACGCAACTTTCCACCATCTGATCGAAGGCAGAACCTGTTTACACTACAACCTTCAGACAGTATGTTACAATCGTAAAATCACAAACGTTTTAGGCTTGTATAATGTAAGAATTTTAATTATTTTCTGATTGTTTACTTTATAAAATATTTTCGACTTTAATACTCATTATAATGAAATTAAAATTTTAAGAGTTTCTATATTAATATGAATGAACACAGTAATGTTTTTATGGAGAACATTTAAAGAATAATTGACAATTAAAGGCCTTTAAAGGATAATGGAACATTTAAACAATATTCAAAAATCGCGGTTACGGCTTTGTAATTAGAGAGATTACGTGATCAAACAAAGGTTAGTTTACTATGAAGCCACGGTTCATGATTAGAAAAATATTAAAGTTTATATCTGCTTTCTATTTCGAAACTACTAACATAATTTATTTATGTACCGTGACAGGAGGAATGTGCTATGAAATGATGAAACCTTTTTGCCAGATTGTGAAGTTTTATAATATTTACGATCTTTGGAGTGGTGAGCGCTTCTATTGATTGTTTTATTTTTCAACGATCGATAAAAACAAAACAGTCAATGATTCAAGTTTGATTATAGTCTTTTCCCTGGATTGCGTTATTTACTGTTATGATAGTATTGTATTTGCTCTGAATAAGTATTTATCCTACTATGAAAACATATGCATACAACAATAAAATCTTCATATTTTGTTAACGCTGAATGAATAGTAATAATTTGACACAGAACTAGTAAAAGACATCAACGAAACATGGCACAAAGTCGTACATACAAAGATGTTCTCAACGCTTCGCTTACTTATTATTTATGTAGTATTCATACGTCATATGTACCGCATTTGATGCACCGCCTTATGCAAAGGTGCCTACGTAGTCTCGATATGAACTCGCCTTTCTCCAATCCAAATCCGCGTGTGCTTACATGACCGACTAAGCGGGCGGTTTCTATTTAATGCCGATCGATCTATAAACGGACTGTAACGTTGAATGGGCCGCACCTGAGAGGGATCGGCTGGAAGGGGAAGCGGTGTGCGGTGTGGGGTGCGACTATGGGCGCGGGCGGCACCGGCACCGGCACTGGAACTGGCACGGGATGCAGCGGCGGCGGCAGCGTACTGTAAGGAGGCGGCGGCGCGCTCTCCATTTCAGGGGCCCGGGGCGCCCGCGCCCTTCTCGGCCGCCGCCGCCGCGCCGGCTCCTCCGTCTGGCACTCAGCACTCGCGACGCTCCTCTCGCGCTCCGTCTGCACGGCACTGTTCACGTTACCGCCGGACGGCGAGTCCACCTGCACTATGTTCACACTGGACACGTTCGCGCGACTCGGCTCGCCCGGCACTCGGACCGACACCGAGTCGGACTTCCGGAGCGGCGCTGGCGCCGGCACGGGCAGCCGCATCTCGTAGCTGGTGGCGCGGTACGTAGCGTACGGCGCGCGCGCATGACGACCGCCACTCGGCGACTGGGGCGCCCGCGCGCCGCGCGCCGCGATCGCCCCATCGGTGCTCGAGCGCGGGGGGGGCGGCGAGCGGCACTCGTACGGCTGCCACAGCAGCGAGGAGAGCGCCTCGGCGGCGGAGAGCGGCGGCGCGTTCACAGGAACCGCTCCCGCGCCCGCGCCCGCTCCGCTCATGTCGCCATCGCACCCCGCCGCCGCGCCAGCGCCATCACTCGCCACCTGGTGTCACTTGCGCCTGATGAAAACAAACAGGTTTTATTTCATATAGCTCTCAGGAAGAAGTCAAGTCTGTCTTCGGTGAAGGAAAACATCGTGAGGAAACCTGCATATTTTCGAAAATAATAACAAAAAAAAATATTTTTCGAAGATATGTGAAGTCCGCCAATCCGCAGTGGGGCCGCGTGGTAGACTATGCCCTGATACCCTCTATATAGAGGAGGCCTTTGCCCAGCAGTGGGACATGTATAGGCTGTTACTTTACTTACTTTACTATTATTATTATTTATGTACATATATTAAGGGGAGACCTTGTATTGTAATACTCGCATAAATTTTTAGTTTTGGCTAATGTCCTGTTATTAAATTCTAACAATATTTTACGTTTAATAACATACGAAATGTGTATGGGTTCCGCTTGATTACTTTTTAATTTAATTTTGAATCTATCACTAAATTGTTAGCACTATATAATCATATGGCGTTCGAGCAATTATTTTTTGTATAAAAGTTATTGCTCACTCAACTTCGGTCGGTTAAACATTTATGTCTTTAAAAAAATCACATACCGTACCAAGGAAAAGTATGGGAAGAATGGCTATTAAGTTTAATAAAACATATTTAAAAAATTTAATAACCATATTTTCCTCTACTTATCGAAATACGGTAATGTAAAGTTCTGCCCAAACATTTCACAGAGTCCGAAGATTTGTTAGAAATTATATATTTACCTCATAAGGTATTGAAATTAAGAGGCTTCGGAAATTGTAAAAAGACGCCTCGAAAGCTACCTGTCGGTTGAGTGCTTTCTTTCATTACGCAACTCTCGAATTGCTTCACTAAGCTCAGATTTGCTTGTAATCTCTTATTGCCTCCTCATTTTTATTATTTATTACATTATTTTCCTGTACGGGTTTTTAAATGCCAATAATAATAAAAATGTTAAAGAGGCAATGCAAAATCTAAATTATAATTTATATAACTTTTTGTGTTGAAAGTCTTGACATTTACATAGATAGGTTGGCAGAGAAACGATTAGGATATAGCTACATATGTTTTTTAACGCAAATACATAAATTTTAAAAATATGTATTAAGGTCTTATTTTGACCAATGGGTGACAACTAGTTTCAGTGACTGTTTTAAGTTTAACGCACTATTACGCTGTAAATGTAGCATGAGAGTTAAGCCCTATGCTCTTATGTTTCTCACAAGATCTACGTTTGAAGAAGCTTTAGAAAAGTCTATGGACTGAAAGCAAAACCTTCAATTAAAGTTCTCTAGTAAAGTCTCTCATGTTTTTGTTTAAAATAACAGAGGGATATGAAGACAAACCCCTTTAACTTACCAAACCTCAAAGACACAAATCAAATGTTACCGACATTTTATTAAGCTTATTCCAGGTTGAAAGATATAACAATAAGGGTACCATAAGTACCAAAAACTCAGTAGTTTCACATAATGAAATAGAATTTTTATTTACTTTATTACTTACATAGAGTACTATAAAGTGATAAAGTAAATAAAAACTTCTTTATATACTATTTTAATTACTTTATAGAGTACTCATTAATTCAAGCTACAGGCATTCTAACTGGGTAAATTAAGATTGAAAGCGGAAATACATCCTAGTCTTCGGGCCAACACAGGATAAAATCACACTATCATATAACTTTAGGCATTTATTTGACTATAAGTTTAAAAAAAAATAGTAGTCTTAATTGAGCGAATTTAATAATGGGCCAAATTTAATACAAAGTATTTTAAAAGAAACTACTTGAGACAGTTCTACTAAACTGTCTGAAATACCTGCTCTCTCATCCTTATAAAAATTTTTCATCTTAGCTTTTAAATTTCCTTTGTATAAACCCTTGAAAGAACTGAAATTTACTCTAGCGGAACTTAATATTACACTTCAAAGCTCTTATGTAAGAATATGCTTTAGCCGACGCGGAAGCTTTATGAAATTTTAATATCAACCCAACAGAACTTTGGAATTTTAAAACCCATTGAAGTGTAGAGCGTCGCTGTGAAAGTCTACCGTTTTCATACTTTTGTAGGTGTTCATTTAAATTTTTTCTTGTAAGTCATCCATACTTTAAATTGATACATTTTAATAGACTGGCGAGTAGACTTAGCTCAGCAGCTTTCGCGGTCAAAAAATTAAGACAGTTAACTGATGTAGATACGGCTCGCTTGGTATATTTTAGTTATTTTCACAGTATAATGTCTTATGGCATTCTGCTTTGGGGTAACGCGGCCGACATTAATACAATCTTTATCTTACAAAAGAGAGCTATTCGTGCAGTTTACAATCTGGGCCCCAAAGAATCGTTAAGAAACTTGTTTAAAGAGATAAAGGTATTGACTGTTGCTGCTCAATACATTTTTGAAAATGTTTTGTATGTCTTTGGTTCTTCTCAGTACAGTGGCTTTCTTTTCCGAACCGGTGGTAGTGTTTTGACTATCAATAAGTGAGTGTAATGCTCCTATGTTGAATAAATACATTTGATTTTGATTTTGATTTTGACATAATACTACTGGTGCCCCTTACGCCATAAGGTGTGGGTGCGATCGCCGCTAGTGGAAAAATATTGCGTGATGAACATATTTTTTTTCCAGAGTCTGGGTGTTTATATATTATTCAGCCCTTAACCCATCTAGATGGGGTCGGCACAACATGTGAATCACGAAAGCGATTTTGGCTATGTTTTTTGATGACCTCAACCCTCTTTGGGAAACAAACACCCAGATCTGGAACAATTATCTGTGGCGACAATTTGTGTGAAACAATACTTGTCCCGTGTGGGAATCGAACCCATAATCAACGACGTCCAAGCCAATAGTTTAGCAACGGCGCCACCGAGTATTTATCAGTTATCTAGTACCCATAGTACACGCGTTGCTGAGTTTGGGACTAGAGAACGTTGTTTACAAATATATCCTACAATATTTATTATTATTTTTAACTTGCAAATAAGAATATGAGTCTTCAAATGTCTGCATTTATTTTCGTACCATTGAATGCATCGGTACCTAGTGATATTAATTGATAATAATATTTTTATACCAAATCCACAAAATCGTACTGAATGTGTTGTGAACAGAATTACTGAATATTTTGTTTCTTTTAAAATTAACTCAATAGCATCTAAATTTCTTCGATAAACGTCTGTTTAAAGTGGATAAATGTTCAAGGACTGGTAGGAAAATAAAACAGCAACTGCTGATGTTTTATAACCATCGTAAAACAGTGCAATTTAGCGAGTGATTTTGCGCTGTAAAAAGAGATATCGGGTCCCAATCAAATGATGTAGTAGGTAGACTGTCAGGGCGCGAGTGTTGGTGCTCTGCGGTGAAACCAAAAGACACTTTCTCCAAGGCCACGGCGTCTCCGTGGCGCCTTCGACCGCAATGCATAAGCCAACACGGATATTGTTATATAACGCGGTTTGTTTTGATAGATTTTTATATTGTCCGCTTTCGTTTTCGCCAAGTTCCCGAGCAACTACATTTACAAGAACTTATGTTGCGACTGCACTTCTTATTTTGTTCTAGGATGTAACCGAACGTCATTTAAAGTATCTCGTTGGATACATTGTTATTAATTGAATCGAACGATGTACAAAGTTGAACAGGTCTTAAGAAAATTAGCATATTTCCACATTTATTGCAGCTAAATATTACAATTTCCTAAAGTCCCTTTAACAATGACAATGAAAATGATTCATTAGAGTCTTAAATTATTGACATTATTAATTAGCTATTTATACAATTTTTTCATTCGATTGAAAATTTATGCAATTGGCAGTTAATTCTATACACCAATTGCTATTCGATTGAATTTTTCTAATTCTAAACGTTCACAATTACCTACAGCATTCTGCCACTTAGATTAGGACTTAATGGAGTATGATACATAGAATGGTAAAATGGAGGAATCTAATTAAAGTGTATGATATCCCAGAAGTGATAGATTTATGCATGAAGTTACTAATTCTAGACGTACGCGATTTTTTACAGCATTCTCTGTCACCTAGGACTTTTACGAGATCTGTAAAATGGGGGAATCTAATTTAACTGTGGAGTATCCCCGTTAAAACAAGAAGTTATCGTTTGTAACTAAATATCTGGCACTTTAGCCACGTAACATTTGACAATACCTATTCAGTTTCAGCGTTGCATCGTTCGTTCATTATGCAAATGTTATTTCAGCGTCGTTTTGGAACGAATCGCCTAATCTGTTTACTTCATAGCTGGTAACGGAGAGCCGCGGCTACGTTACGCTTTCTCGGAAGGTCGACACACCGGGTCGACGTCGCACCGTTGACGGACCTGAAGCGTTTCTCTTAAACGCTTCGAGTCATATCACAACAAAAACTTGTTGCTACTTGCGCAACACGACGCGGTAATCTCGTGGCGTTAGGAGTTTGCATATAAGAAATATTACTTATTTATATTTTTTTACTTTTAACATTGCCCTAACAAACATTAATTTCACGTGGACATACACAAGATCCGAAACAGCTATCTGTGGGTCACACAAATAGACACCGAAGCCAATAATTTGACAACTACACCATGGAGTCATCTCATTATGCAGTTTGTTTATATAGATTTTTATATTGTTCCTTTTAGTTTTCGCTAAGGTTCCGAGCACTAGTTTTTAAGAATTTAAACGAATCAACTGTATTGCATATTATATAAGCCTCTGATTGAAATTCTGCTAAAAAAATCCACAAAACTGGCAGGAGAAGTAAAATAAGTCATTTGCAAATTAGTAGAAGAAGAAACAGAAGTATAAGTAGTGCTATAACTTATTTATTATACGTAGCAATATAAACATTATTAATAAAGAAAATTGTACAACCGATATACGAACCGCGCAACTTCAATGTGGATTTGATTGCACTTTCCTTAGGAAAAGCTGTATCTACAAAATGTGTAAAAAAATATATT